ACGTAACAAGTTTAGTTTTAGCAAAATCTGCTACCGCAACAAACATCTTGCTTTATCTGTGGATATTGCAGCTTCGCAGTCAACTAGTGTTGGGTAGGGTGAAATATGCTCAAGTTAAACATATCCAAATTTCGCACGATTTGGTCTACTGAGAAAAAAGTTATAAACGAAAAAGCGACAAAGCATTTCACCGAAGACTTTTGGCCGCTACTGTAGCTCAAGTTTCATTTATTTCACCATTAAGATATAACGAGCATGAAGTACTTTCTTAGCGATTAACGCAATTCTCATCGTAGTGATGAAGCAACTTGTTTTGTTCCAACTGTACACAACCTCTAAACCTTCTTTTTGCTTTCCCTGCACCTCATCTTGTGCCGTAAAAGTAAACGCTGTCCATGTTAGACTCTACGTCTTACTTTTGACAACTCATCTAGTACTTGATCTTGACTTTTGTGAGATCCTTCTTGATGACCTTTGAGTGATCCTCGTCGACACTTCCCTGAACTACACGGTTCAGTGTCTTTCTTGATGAGTGATCTTCAGTATTTGCTGGTTCCTTGTTCTGGATAGGCTGTGTGCATTCAGTTGTGGTGTCCTCGTTTCTAATCCAGTCCAGTAACGTTGAGCCGCATACCCCGTCATACCTTCCACATGCCAGCGGGTGTGATCGTCTCTCATGCCATGAGGAATTGTCACTAGGTTTGGAGATAATTAACATTGACATCTTCTTGTGTCTTCTTGCCTTGGAGAGTTAGCAGGAAGAGTGTGTAGGGTGCTGTTTTTGTGCTGGGCTTCTTCTGCCATGCATGGCATATTTTCGCCTTTTGAAAATCGTACTCGCACTACTTCCAGAGCGAAGATTCGATCCTTCACTCGAAAGCACATGTTTTTTTGAGTTCTCTCGTCGTTTCATCAACAATTTAATCTTAAGATGTGTGCGACGATGTCGCTCTCAGGTCCAGTACTGGGAATCCTACGAGAACAATTGGCATCAGCTGCAAGAGTGAAGAGTGGTCCTGGTCAAATGCTCAGGTCCTGCTCGTGCTGTTACCTATTATTTCGCTAATCATTGCCATGGTAAGTGTGCGAAGTATCTTTCTGGGTCTGCTTTGGCTACGTATTAGCTGAGTAGTGGTACTGCGCTCTTCTACCATATACAGTCCGGTGAGTGTGTTCGTTGTGTCTGCGTATGAGCGTATGCTTGAGCGGAAACACATACCTCCCGTCACTGTGATCCTAGTTGGGAGGGATAGAGTGATGGGTTGGGACATTGATTGGTGGTAAGAAGTGGTGATACCGACAAGAGCAATCTGGATGGCTAAGAAAGCGAGAACCAGTGGATCAGGGGGGGAGGGGGAGACTTCGTTCCTGTCGTTGATGAAAGTGGGTAACGTCGCGCGCGGCATAGCTTACTGCAATTTTGAGATGGACCGTGTAAGGCTTTTGCGCTTTGATTTAATTTTCCGCGCGCGGGCATCATACTTATATAATCCACTGGCTGCTTTCATAGTCCGCCAGCCGGCCGGCCGGCGCGCGAGCCGGCTGACGTAAAACGAATTGGTTCGTATGTAAGAAACCTACGTCTGTTGCATTTTATTTCACGGTTCTGACGGGTTCTGATTGGTTTAATTCGTTTATGTCGGCCGGCGGACTATGAATGTAGCCACTTAGTGTGTCTGTTGGTGTGTTTGTCTGTGCATGTGTGTGTTTATCTGATCGAAAATTCATAACTACTGTCCCAGAGGACCCGGTGCATTCAAATGTGGTGAGAGTACAGGCGGCGAAATAG